GGATAGAATGCGTATACTGGCACATGTATAAGTATATTTATATAGAAATACATATTGAAACTTCCATGACTGGAGTACAAATGCTCGCATTCATCACACAAACATCTGCCCCCACCGGGATTCGAACCCGGGACCTCTCGAGTCGGCGACACCATGAAACCCGGCGTACTAACCACTCAGCCACGGAGGTCGTCATGACCCACCACGCGGGCTCAGTGCGGATTGGTGGGTGCTAACGACTGCAGATGCAGCCGGGACCAACGGCTTAGCGTGCCTTCCGAAGCATGGAGGAGTGAGAGATAGTAAATTTTTGGTCACCCATCCAATGACTGACCACTGCGAAAGTTGCTTAACTTCAACGATCGTAGCCGAACGCGCTAACCACCTGCGCCATCGAGCTCCTCATGAAAGATAATATTAATCTATTAATGCCCCCTCCACTGCTGGAGCAAAAGTTTACCACTATGAATAGAATTGGGAGATATGGCCATTAGGAGATATCGGCCGCGAGCTTAGTATACCTTCCAAGAAAATAACTTTTTCGATCACCCATCAGATGACCGACCGTTAAAAATCGCACCGAATAAAATTTGTTGTACGCCTTAGGCATAGAGCAACACGTTTGACGCCAGGTGGGGAGTAGGCATACACAGCTCTACCCTCTGTCGAGGTGGGCATACAATCGATACATGTGCGCAGGATTTGGCGATGCATTGTCTGATTGTTTATGTATGAGTGTCATAGTTACAGTTTACTGAGTACTGGCAGTAGTGAAAACTTGAATATTAACGTTGTGCATTATTGATATTTTGGAATGGTTAGGTAATAATTTTGCACGAATTGCCTTAAATATCAGTATAAAAGTACTATCATTTATGTGGTAGAATACAATATTTATTTAAAGCAATAAAAAAAATGCATTTTTTTCGCAATAAAGCTGCCACCTGGACGTCCTAGATAGGGACTTATTATTATAAGACGATAAAATAAAATGTTACTATGATTCGTCCAATATATTGAAAGTCAACAACCTTTCCAATTTTACTGTTTTCATCTTACGAATTTTCAATTAGGCCACGAGTCCTGACGCGATCAGGCCAAGTATCCTGACGCGAGTTTAACAACGCCGCTAAAGAACTTTTCACCTCAAAAATATATCATCATATTCCTTTTGTCAATCATTGAACAGAGACAAAAACATGTAATAATTAATCAGAGCTTATTCTTCGTTCATTAATAAGCCCGAGTACAAAAAGGCATTTTATATTATAAGTAAAAATTTATACGAAAAATCTACACTAGGTGTAATCTAAGCTGTTAGCAAAACAAAAAAACGAGAAAACAAAAAATAAATGAACTCAACAAACCTGAAGCGATACTCGCAAACAAACTTTATGACTGTGACTTAACACTAGGTGCCATGCTCTGAAATAAAACGGCATACGTTTAAAAAGAAAAAAAGTGCAATTTCAAAACATAGAATAAAAAAATATTCTTTCGTAAGTCTAGTCAAGAGCAAAGTTAAATAAAAACAAAATACAAAAAAAATATCAGAAAGTGTAAAGAAAAGTTTACTAGAAAAAAAAAACAACGACGCGGCTAATAGGGCCGTGGTAGCATAATGGTCAGTGCATTCGCCCGGATAGCGAAGGATGCGGGTTCGAGTCCCGTACGCTGCCTGGTCCGCGTGGATTTTTTTCTAGTAAACTTTTGTTTAGATTTAAACATCTAGCAGTTAAATGCTTAAAAAATAAATAAAATCATAACTAACAGAAAGTGATCAATTCCGAATGGTTTTCGTTTATTATTTTTTTAAATTTATATTTCTGTTAAATTCGAAACTAATTTATTATCATTATTTTTTTACCTATTTATATTTATAAAAAATATTTTTTTTTACAAAAATAAGGTTTTGTCTATGATTTTCTTAAAAATATATTTTTACAAAAATAAATATTATAATTTTAATAAATTAATAGGCAAAAACCATTCGTCATTGATCACTTTGTTATTTTTAGGTTTAGCTTAATATTTAAGCTTAAAATGTGAAGCTGTGTATTTTATAAAAAGTGCAGAGCAAGTCCTTGCGTGAATGATTCGTAACCTATGTGTTCATTTAATATACGATGCGTTAAAAATATTTACGAATATGACCGACAGTTCAGGGATGGCGCAGGGCGCTGTTGAATGCTAAATGTTTGAAGTACTAGAAAATCTGCTGATTTTTAGGGAGATGGTCTTGTTCTATATTTTATTTACTCGTATATCGAAAAATTCAAATAAAAAACTGTATGAAACAGATATGTACATTATATATGAATAAAAAAAAAACATCTAAATAAAGTGCTTTTGCTAGTTAAGATATTTATGTAACATAAAACTTAGTCGTTATTACATATTAAGTTTTTGTATTTAATTTATTTCTCTAATTTATTTTGTGTTTGATTGGCCCTTGACTTCCGGTAACTACCATCAGTCCCAAATGGGGAGACTCTCTAAATAGCACTGGCGATACAAATTATGACGTACAACAAATATGGCGGAGTTAGTACCAATTTTCGCCACATTCATAAAGATCCTTGTCGCACTGTAATATGGGCCTATAAAGTGAAGTTAGGTAACTGCTACTAACTTCACGTGCGGAATTGGTATTAAAAACTCGTGACTATGTTCAGTCAACTCGTTTGTATTATGGTCCGGCCGCTCAGAGAATGCGTTTCTGACAGGTCGTGCCAGTTCCTTATGGTGATAGCATTAGAGTTAATTTTCGAACCCCATTTTTATTAGTTTTTTTTATTTATTTATCATTATAAACAGTAGTTACAATTTTATATTTACAGCATTAGAAAAACCATAGAGGTATGTAGCAATGCTAATTACACGTCAGGGACTAGCTCAAATAGTAAATTAAATACAAAGTACTGTGTTTAAAGGATACAGTTAGGTGCATTCCAAGGTCTTATAATAATAGTCTTTCAACTTGTATTTAACATTCAACGGTGTTAGACAATTGACTAAATCCGCAGGTAGTTCGTTGATCATACGCGGGACTAGGAAGGCAGTAGTTCTCCTACCGTATTTGCTCGCTTTGTACAAAGCTGGTTTCGAGCAATAAGCACGCGAATAAAAACAGAATGATTCACTTTTTGCTTAAGAAATTAAAACAGGATGATTCACTTTTTGCTTAAGAAATTCTAAAGTGTACTTTATTCTGTCGCCATAAGGAACCGACACGACCTGTCAGAAACGCATTCTCTGAGCGGCCGGACTGTAATAACCAACTTTACCGCATTAATATCATAAATCTTACGCTAGCTCGACAAAGTAAATAATATGATTATATTCAGACGACGCATCCTGAAAACGATGAGAAACGTCAGTAAATAAATAAACAGTGCATCGGAACCGTTGAAGCTAGTTTTATTTAATGAATGATGTGCGTGGAAAACCTGAGAAACAAATATGTTAAATAAAACTAGTTTTAACGGGTTAATGCACGAACTTTATTTATTTATTAAAACTAGTTTTATTTAATGAGAGATGTGCGTGAAAGCCTGAGAAACAAATAAACAAATATATTTTAATAGCATTTTATGGTACCTGTAACGCAGCATCGTGCATATAATGCCGCGGAGGATGCGGCCGAGGCATCGGCTCGTCGCTATCTTCATCGTCTTCTAATTCTGCAACGTACAAACCTAAATAAATTATATAACTATATTATAACACACCCAGAGACGACAGTACAGTCAAAACCGAATATAACGACTTCGTATATGACGAGGTGTCGGTTATTACGACCATTAGGCAAGGTCTCGACCGAAACCCTATATAAACCCCCACGTAAACAAACCGTCTATAACAACTCCGGATATAGCGAAATATCGCTTAAAACGACTTATAGCCAATGAATATTGATAAGTTCATATCGATATTCATCGGCTATAACGACCAAGCGTTTTACTTGTTTTGTTACAGCAAAACAAAATACACTTTAGATACTTAAACTTTTTCGTAATAATAAACTTATTATTTCTTTTTTCGGTATTTTTTTGAAAACAAGCTTATAGTCATTATCTATAACCATACTACAATATGACAATAATATGAGTACTTGTGTATATTGCTTATACCAACTATCGGACATAACGTCCGAAATTATGTGGTCCCTTCAATGTCGTTATATCCGGTTTCGACTGTACTTTCATTTGCTGCATTCGCATGTCAGCCTATTGGATAAACATTTCTAGCATTAAATCTTATTTTACATATTAACATTCATGATGATCAGCCTATTATTGCCACCACTGCTGGGGCACAGCTTGCCCTATCATGCAAAATCATTGGCAAGTATTTGGAAATTTCAATATATAGACAACACGAATTGAGTTTGGACTTTGCTTAAAAAATAAAAAAAAAATCAATATCGTTTATTCAGTCTAGGCTGCTAGAAGCACTTGTGAATGTCGAAAAGCTACGCCATCGGTTCGCAAATCTACGGCGGGAGACCTTGTACTGAGAAGAACCGGCAAGAAACTCAGCAAGGGCTGATTTTTCTCTCTGTTTTATTTCATACAGTGTCGTCCAATTGCTTGCGATTAATAGTTCAATACCCTTCCGGCAAGTCTATTGTGGAAGGTCTGGCGCCCGAGTCCTTTTATTAATTTTATTTCGACCTATCCATATTGTTTTAAAACAATTTTTGTTTTAACTGACCATTTTTTTTTGTATGACAAATTATTACTCTTAAAGTATTCAAGCGGCATGGCTGATCGTGCTGAGGGCCGCGATGTAAACCAACGACACAGGACAGGGGGGCCAATCGCCTAGGGGAATTGCTATGGTTATCGCTATCGCTTACGATTTCATTTTGTTATTTCTGACAGCCGAAGGTTTTCAAATGCCACGCGCTCATTTTCTTTAACATTGTAATTACCAATGCAAAAAATCATCCAGCTCGGGGGAAGATCTTTGTCCTTCTTGCAATAGATTCATAAGCATTATGCATATTTGGACTCACCTCTTTGCTTCCTGGGTTCACGTTTAACAGTATCTTCGGTGTCCGAACCCTCTGTAAAAATATTTTTTGCTTAAAAAACATCCAAGTCTATTTTTTTTAAAATAGGGTATTTGAGTCCGTAAAAAGTGGATATTCATCATTCTGTTGTGTATTTCAGTAAAAATAACCAAATCAAAAACTCCATTTTCAAGTTGCCGCGAAAACGTTTTTTCTGGACAATATGGCGTCTTACTAGTGTGTGACGTCACACGAATGTTATTAAAACGTCAAACGATACAATGTAAAGTCACTTTAACCGGAAGTTTACTTGCGTGTGACGTCATTTTAGGCTCCGCCAATCCCAAGCGTTTTGGGTCACGTGATAATAGATAAGAAAACTATTATCTTTTTCGTGGGTTTTTAGTAAAATTATGAATATTTTGCTTTTAGAAATAGTAACAACCCCTGCCAATATTCATTCTAAACACAGATGCTAACAATTGGCACTTTATTTTTAATACTGTCAAATAACCCTATTGGTTTGGGTATTCCATCGAAAATAGACTTTATCATAATAGCAAAAAGGTTCATGTTGAACTTTAAGATTGCACGCGAGATACAAAAAGGTGAACCTAATTGAATATCCAATGCCCACAAAGTGAACGCATAAATAAAATGAAAAGTGAAAAGTCATTTGTTCAGTCTAGGCTGTTACAAGCACTTGTGAAGTTCAAGAAGCTACGCCATCGGTTCGCAAAACTACGGCGGGAGACCTTGTACTGAGAAGAACCGGCAAGAAACTCAGCAAGGGCTGTTTTTTTCTCCCTGTATTGTTATAAACTGTTAACGCCATCTATCCTTCGGCGAGAGAATCGGTCCATCATCATCGTCTGTTCATACATTCATTTCGTACCCATTCGTTACTACATTCACTCATTTCGATTTATATAGATTCACTCTCCCTCTTGCAATTCGAATTCAAAAGAACAACGTACGCACATAATTTCAATAAGATCTGTATTTTACTATGAATAATATTCTACAATCTGAATATCCGATTTTTATTGAGAAATCCACATATAGAAGACATTAAGTTATAGAACAATACAGAGTCGTCAAGTTGAAAAATGACTTCAGAGATACGTCTGAAGTCACCTTCCATTACATCATTTAAAATATAAATATATAGTTACAAAAAATTATATAGTTAACTTTATATTAATATATAGGAAGCGGCATTTAAAGAAAGCAGAAATCATACCCGAGTTGAGCTCTCTGACTAGAGTGGACATGGCGTTGGTGACCGAGTCTGCCGCATACAGCAGGTCACTGCGGAGGCTTCTGTTGTCTATGCCCACTGAAACAGAAACCCTCTATTGATATCCAATCGATAATACTACAAATATACTTATATATGTACAATATATGTATTCTATTCGTTACCCTAGTATCCCATAAACACAAGCCTTACAGTGCTTACTTTGGGGCTAGGCTAATTGGTGTGAGTGTTGGAAATATTTATTTATTATTTATTAAATACAATAGCGCTTTTGGTTTGCGACTGTGTAAGACAAAAGCTTTCCATTAAGGCTAAGAACTCACGGGTGGACAATCGCCTCAATCGCTTACGATTTCATTTTGTTATTTCTGATCGCCGAAGGTTTTCAAATAGCACTCCCGTTAGGTGCACGGACCATTATGCTACCGCGGCTCTAATAAACGTGTCGAATTTTCTCTAGTATTTCGTAGGCTGCAAGGCATGGATTCATATATATATATATCTAGTAAAATTTTCTCTATATAACCGATTTGTCAAAACATGTGGTACAATATACCATATAGCAAAACATAATGTAATAAAATACTCACTTGTGGTTGGCCGTTGGTTTTGATGGAATCCTCTGTTCTCGTTGCTCATACTTTCCATGCCACCTGAAAGAAAAATAAAATGTAAATGGCTGCTAACTGCTGATGGTGGTAAATAAAGTTTTTATGGTAAAAATAAAAACTTTATTTACCACCATCAGCAGTTAGATAATGAAAAATATTATGAACATTATTTTGTCAATAAAAAAAAATTGCAAAGATAAAGCGCGTCAAAGTTTGGCAGTGTGGGGACGTGACGTCACTTCTAAGTAAAAATTATACCAATACGTGACATCACCTGACATTTCAAATCAATATAAGGTCAATCAAGAAGAAGTGCTAGCATGAGAATAACTATATCTGGTAATAGTTAGCGCAATCAACTTGCGATCGCGAAAGTTAAGCAACTTTCGCAATGGTCGGTCGTTGGATGGGTGGCCAAAAACTTATTATCACGAGCTCCTCCGTGCTTCGGAAGGCACGTCAAGCCATTGGTCTCGGCTGCATCTGCAGTCGTTAGCATCCACCAATTGGCAATGGGCCCGCATGTTAGATCACCCGATTCCATCCACAGGGAAGGCCTGTGTCCCAGCAGTGGGGGATAATAGGCTAATGATGATAAGTATAATAAATGCTAAGGAATAACTTACCGAGACTGTGCGTCATATCAATCCGCTCCCTCTCTCCTAGTGAAGGAGTCTGCGGGGCACTGCGTACCGTGCCCCTGCTGCTTGGCTCCCTATATTCATTACAGTAATGTTATAAAGGCGAAAGTTTGTGAGTGTGTATGTTTGTTACTTCTTCACGTCTAAACGGCTGAAGCGATTTTAATAAAATTTGGTATGGTGTTATCTGGCACCCTGGATTAACACATAGGCTACGTTTTATTGCGGGATAATATCCCTAATAAACCGCGGAGCTCAGCCAGTGAAATATAAGCCTTGTTATAACAGTACCACAAATTGAACAGTTATAAGGTTTGAAGCTTCCTTATCAAATATTTAGGGATGTTTATTCAGGCAGGTGATATTTAAACTGTTATTAATATCGTGTCACAAAATCGGCAATAAAAGGTATTTATAAATAGATAAATAAATAAATAAAATGTGAAAATAACAACGTTTTATTCTCAAAGTATATAAACATTTTATTGTAGCCGCACCGCACCGCAGCAGGCGGTGACGTGGTCCCATTGTTGGTGTATATTTTTGACAGACAATATTTTTGATTTATGTTAATTTCATGAATTAAACACCACATCGCTTAAAGAGGGCGAGGGCAAGAAAGGAAGGGCATAGCAGATTTTCTGCTCGAATTGGAGAGCCAGTCAGGGGAAGTATAGTAGTAGTAGTAACGTAGGGTACGTTACAAAAGAATCTCTTATCTATTAGACAAGTCCGTCCGTCTGTCTGTGGTGCTGTTTCAGCGGCCAAACCGTAAGAGATAGATAAAGAGAATATTTAAGTTATAAGTTAAGAATAGTCTGATAAGACTACAAACCGGATTTGAGTAACGTAGCACTTCCGGTTTTCGAGAAATCACGAATTTCAAACGAAACCACACAAAATCTCCGAAGTTCTCAATTAATTAAATACATTTTTTTTTAAATCAGGTTTTGGTGAACATTTGGTTCACTGGTTTGCTAGTTATAGCTGTTAACGGGATTGTTACCATGTACCTTGTTTTTTAATGAGTCTCCGATATTTCGGCACTGTTGCAAGCGCCATGATCACGGAGTAACTCAAGTAATTGCGGGTAGATGTTATTGGTATATATGATAACAAAGATAGCCTGCGAGTTTCACTTGCGCGGTGTAGTTTGTGAGCGCAGCGTGATTCTTTTCCTCCATGTTGGTTATATGTGGGGCGTGTAGATTTTTTTTTTTTTAAAAACACACCAATTAGCCTAGCCCCAAAGTAAGCACTGTAAGGCTTGTGTTATGGGGATACTAGGGTAACGGATAGAATACATATACTGTACATATATAAGTAAATTTATATAGAAATACATATTTAACATCCATGACTGGAGCACAAATGCTCGTATTCATCACACAAACATCTGCCCCCACCGGGATTCGAACCCGGGACCTCTCGAGTTGGTGACACCATGAAACCCGGCGTACAAACCACTCGGCCACGGAGGTCGTCAAAGATGTCGCCGCCACAATAATAAAAAACAGAATCAGTAAGGTATTACCTTTCTGGTGCAGTGGGCTGCGGTTGTGCTCCCGGCAGAGGCGGACTTTTGGTAGATCTAGGCGAAGAGTTGGGCGTCGACCGCGGAGAGGACTGTTGCGTCTGTTGACAAAATAGATAAATAAATAAATACTAAGACCAATCAGCCTAGCCCCAAAGTAAGTACTTTAGGCCTTGCGGTGTAAGATACCGTTACCCATTAGAATATAGCTTTACCCCCTCATCTGTGTAAGTGGATGATTTCTGCCACGAATTGAGAAAAATATTTGCATTTTTTATGTTTTATCATAATTTAGTAACGGTTTTTAATTTACACACCGAAAATATAGATAAGTTTGTAGAGAAACTATAAAGGATAGATTTAACACATAAATGAAACATGGATGTAGGTACAGTAGAACTCGAATAATAAGAGAAAAATTGGCCGTTTTTTTTTATTTTGCCGCTGTAAATAACAAAATGGAGAGCTACACAGACCAGGGGATGGATAGGGAGATTAGGCCATGACCCACCACGCGGCCTCAGTGCGGATTGGCGGGTGCTAACGACTGCAGATGCAGCCGGGACCGACGGCTTAACGTGCCTTCCGAAGCACGGCGGAACTCGAGATAGAAGATTATTGGTCACCCATCCAATGACCGACCACTGCGAAAGTTGCTTAACTTCAACGATCGCACCCGAACGTGGTAACCACCCGTGTCATCGAGCTCTTCATTGTATATTACTAACTTGTTATACATATTTGTTTCTTAGGTTTTCACGAACATCACTCATTTAATAAATCAAGTTTTAAAGGAATAACACACGAAGTTTATTTATTTATTGATGTTTCGCAGCCTTTTCAGGCATCGTCAGAATAATGATTTATTATTTACTTTGTCGAGCTACCTTCGAAAGACTTTTATTGAGCGTTCGGATATTTCATTGGAAGATTTTTAAAATTTTATTGTCAATGTATTAATTTATTAGTTAATTTAGTTAATAAAGTACTTTATTTGGAATTCTTTTTTGTAATTTTGAGTTTATTTATTTGACCCTAACTTCCGTAAACTACCACCGGTTCCAAAACTGGGAGACCTGAGAAGAACCGCCGAAACAAACTCAGAGAGTCTTTCTATCTCCTTCTTATGTTAAATCATGCAAAACAAAAAGAACTAATAGTATCTGTTGTTACACATTACAAAATATTGGAAGTGATTGATAAGAAATATATGTAAAGCACATACCAAACATACCATCATTTAGCAGTAAAAAGTATAAAAAGGTTCTAAATAATTCAAATTGTATTCAAATAGTACTGAAGAGTGGGTTATAGTAATCTCATTGGAATATTAAAATGAGGTTTATTATTTTCTTTATCATCATGTGTGCAGTGATAGTGGCTGTACTGAGTAAGTCACTTGAAGACAACGATCCGACTAAAAATACGGAGAAAGTCGAGAAGTAAGTGTACTTTTTGACGTGAAACTTCTTTACGCACGCTTGACTTGTTCGGACGAAAAGTGTGTTCGGGCGAGGCGAACGGGAGTTGAGTGGGGGTATACCTGAGCAGGAGAAATCAGTACGCACGCACATTTTCTTTTTCTCTTTCTCTTATAGCTAGTAAAAGATATATATATATATATATATATATATATATATATATATATATATATATATCTTTTACTATTTATTTATTTTTATACAACTATACATATTACTTGGGGTGTGATCTACCATCGATACCGAAGCCTAAAATATAGTTTTTAGAATTTTTGTCTGTGTAGCTTTATGTAATTCCGGGATAAATTTAAAAAGTACTGCATGGATTTACTTCTTTGTCACGAATATTATTAAGAAGTCGGGTCAACATATAGGCTACATATTATCACGGTATCACCTACGGGGAACAAGCAGTGTACCTTTATTTCTAACTAACTCCACGCGTACGAAGTCGTGGGCGGCCGCTAGTACAATATACATACAGATGGAGCTAAAGAAGTTTCACTTCAGTCGTGTGTGTGGTCATAAGCACACTCGATTTTTTGACGTGACAACGTCTTAAATTAGGTTGCGGCTGGGAGTCACTTATGAAAAAGTGTAACGCTCGGTAACGTTACGATGAGTCTCTCGTGTTAAGTTTAAGTTTACATGTACAATGTTTTAGTAAACAAAATATATTTCTATAGTTAAAATTTGTGCAATTCTTATTTTCATTCAATTCCTTGTTCCTATTGTGCAATTTAATTATATTCATATCAATAAATATTCTACCGAGAAAAAGACGTTGTCACGTAAAATCTTCGCCCGTAAAACCGACTTTACAGGCAACCATTTTTTTATTTTAAGAATATAACTGCCGGATAAATTACTATAAAGAAAATTTACAACTATAATGTTAATTATTAATCTCATTGCTCCGATATTATTAACTTTTCCTTGAAATGAAATGAAATTTATTTATTCACACAAAACAAAGTAGATACATTTTGGTGGTGATTTTCATTTAGTTCGTCCATTTTGCCAACGACAGGGCATGTGAATGTCAAACTTAATTGAATACTTATGTCATTTTACTTATTCTATTCTAAGTCAATTTTCGTTTCTAAATATTCTCTGAGTAAAAACATTTCGTTATTTGCCACATTTTAAGCTTCCTTTTAAATAAAGGCAAACTAAGCTCTGTTATAACTTTAATCTAATATATAAAATTCTCGTGTCGCGGTGTTTGTAGTTAAACTCCTCCGAAACGGCTCGACCGATTTTCGTGAAATTTTATATGCATATTCAGTAGGTCTGAGAATCGGATGTAATCTATTTTTCATCCCCCTAAATGTTAAGGGTAATCCACCCTTAATTTTTTTTTCAATTTTAGATTTTTTTTTTATTTTATTTTTTTATGATACAACATTAGTAAATACATACAACCCTAAATTTTCACCCTTCTACCACCAACCCTTATTTTTTTATGGCGGTAGGAAGTTGGCTGGGTCAGCTAGTATAACTATATAAACTTCTTCGTAATAACTATAGTTTTGTGAAATGATCTCCCGCTAGATATCAGAATGTCCCCCAGTAAATATACCTTTAAAACCAAACTGCGTAGCTGTTTGTTGGAACAGGCGTTTGGTTGAGTGGTTTGTCTGCATTATTTTGTGAAGTATGTATGTAAATAAATAAGAAATAAATATTTCCAACACTCACACCAATTAGCCTAGCCAAAGTAAGCACTGTAAGGCTTGTGTTATGGGATACTAGGGTAACGGATAGAATACATATACTGTACACATATAAGTACATTTTTGTAGAAATACATATTAAACATCCATGACTGGAGTACAAATGCACGTATTCATCACACAAACATCTGCCCCCACCGGGATTTGAACCCGGGACCTCTCGAGTCGGCGACACCATGAAACTCGGCGTACAAACCACTCGGCCACGGAGATCGTCATGTATGTATGTATTTATGTGTTTATACTTATATATATTAACTTATATGTATTACTAGTGGCCCGCCCTCGCTTCGCTTCGGTGTAGAGCTGTAGTGTAAACTATAGTTTTTGTTCTCAGGCTTGTGCTATAAACAATGACTTTATTTATATAATTACACGTGTTATTGTGAGTCAACCATAAAAGATAGACATATGCTGTTGCGGGATATTTTTTAGACAATTTTATGTAGAATATTTCCGTCATACATGATTTCTATGTAGCTTTAACCATTAAGGCTGCACACGCGACGGAAGCTTAAAAAATGGAGTAACTTCTCCCGTTTTCCCAACATTTCCCTTCACTACTCTGCTGCTATTGATTGTAGCGTGATGAAAAGTATACTATAACCTGCCCAGGAGTATGAAGAATAATTGTACCAAGTTTCGTTAAAATCCGTCGAGTAGTTTTTGTTTCTATAAGGAACATACACACAGACAGACAGACAGACAGACAAAAATTTTACTGATTGCATTTTTGGCATCAGTATCGATCACTTATCACCCCCTGATAGTTATTTTGAAAATATATTTCATGTACAGAATTGACCTCTCTACAGATTTATTATAAGTATAGATTAATTATATTAATTACTATTTATTTTCCTTTCAATGTAATTTCCACAACAACATCGACATTTGTGCATGCAGAATAAATAAATAAATAACTTTTAAGATAGGTAGGCCATAGTGGATCACCCGCTCGAATTGGAGCGCCCGCCTTGGTAAAGTAATCACCACCATACAGAAGATCTCAGTAAAATAACACCTGCATTGCTGGTCAGTAGGGTTCTAAGGCTCCACACTTAGATTAAAACAAAAAGGGTAGATACGGTACGCTCATACTTGCATCAAACAAAAACTGATCCCACGGCAGCGTGAACGGGACGGCGAGATCCACGTCACTGCATTACCGACCCGAACGAAACAGCACGTTAAGTTTCAACGGCAGCGCGAACGAGACGGCGAGATCCGCGTCACTGCATTACCGACCAATCACGCGACCAGTACTCGACGTCACTACCGAATAAGATTCAAAACAAACAGCAATTTTTATGAAAAAATATATGTTATAGTACTTACGAATGAAAAGTGATGCCGTGGGTTTTATTTTTAGTTCTTGAGCAATTTGAGCACTTTTTAAAAACACACTTAGGCATTGTTTTATCATATAAACACAAAATAATAATAATAATTCTTTTTGGCGTTCACATGTACGTCGTTTGCTATCAAGTTGTGACTAAAGCGATTAGGGTCGTGGACCACAATTCATGCGGATCACTTTTGTGAGGCTAGTGCCGTATCTACCCTTTTTGTTTTAATCTAAGGCTCCACAGGGGGATTGCGTTCAGGACGGAAAAGTGAGGATGGTTGGAGTGGCACTCCTGCCGCATCATCTATATTCGCGACTGGACTCCACCTACATTTAACATCATATATGATGGGGTAGGAGGAGCTCGATGGCGCAGGGAGGAGCTCAATGGCGCGGGTGGTTAGCGCGTTTAAGCAATTTTCGCAGTGGTCGGTCATTGGATGGGTGACCAAAAATCTTCTATCTCTAGTTCCACCGTGCTTCGGAAGGTACGTTAAGCCGTTGGTCCAGGCTGCATCTGCAGCCGCTAGCACCCG